CATATGGTTTTTCAAATCAGTGTTTTTGTTTTCTTTGGATAAATAGTGGAATTACTGGATCGTGTGGTTATTCTACTTTTAATTTTGTGTGGATCTTCCATACTGTTTTCCATAGTGGCTGCATCAATTTACATTCCCAACATCAGTGCACAAAGGTTCCTTTTTCTCCATATCCTTGTCAACACTTGACATTTCCTGTCTTTTTGATCCTCTAAGCCATCCTTACAAATGTTAAGGTGATTTATTACTGTGGTTTTAATTTGCTTCTCTGATGATGAGTCATGGGGATCCTGTTGGCCATGTACATGTCTTCTTTGGAAAAATGTCTATTCAGGTCTTCTGCCCATTATAACTAGATTACTCGGTGTTCTAGTGTTGAGTTGTAGAAGTCATTTATATAATTTGGATATTAGCCTCTTAACAGCTCACTTGCAACCATCTTCCCAATTCAGTAGGTTGCCTTCACTTTGTTGATTCTCCAATATATTAATGATCATCATATGAGATTTTAAAAAGGTATGGCTTCAAGGTTGTTGTGTGTCACTGGAAATAGGGTTTTGGGTTGGGGGATAAAGAGATACTCTATTTGCCCTAACATCCCTAATTTAAAGCCTTGACAATTACCATAGGAAAATACTGGTTCTAGTTCCCCTATCTGGAAGCCTAAGAAATTCTCAACTGTCCTTCAAAACAATTTATGGGGCTAGAAAGAGAAACTCCTTTTGTAGATGTGACCAGGAATGTAACTTTGGCACTGTCCCTCGATAAAGCTGTGCGCTCCCACTCCAATTACATGTGAAACAAAACGGGTGTCCCCTGGTAAAATTCACTGTCCTTTCACTTTCAAATTCAGATTGTAAGTGTTCTTTGGTTTCACAGGCATAAGTAATTACATGTCTCATATGGATTTAGGTACTTAACTATTACTGTACCAACTGCTACTGAAGTGTGCTTACAAGAAGCAATTCAGTCTAAAAAGTAAATAATTGCCCTAGATAGAATTCATGTAACAGTTACTAAGCCCCCTGCCCCAAGCATCCAATGGAAGTTTTAATCCTTACCCCACTGCAGGAGAAATTTGGCAAAGTCTAGAGGCATTATTCCTTGTCACACTGGAGTTGGCATTAGCTTGTATTTGCTATTTGCATTAGAGGCTAAGGGTGCTGTTAGTCATCACAGAATGCCCAGGAGAGCCCCAGTGTCAATAGTGTGAGTGTGAGAAACCCGGAGTTATAGGCAGTAGAGATACTGGGGTACGTAGTGGAGTAGAAAACAAATCATGCAAGACAATGAATATGGTCATTATCCTGGTCGAGTGTGTAATCTGAGATGTACCATTTTACATGTGTAGATTTTTTCATCCAAAGAGGCCAACACAACATTTATATTTAAATACTTTTATTTTCATTTCACAAAAAAAAGCAACAGTGTTTGCAATTACACATGCCTTTTCAGTCAGTGCTGGTCATATGCAAAACAAGTTATCAGAAGTATAAAGAAAAATAAGCTTTTTCCCTTTACAAGTGACACAACACAATTTGCATATATATAATATTATACATACTGTTTTCAAAATTTTCCACAAAAGACAGATTATGATACAAATTTAGAATTCCACCCACAAGCTCAGATTCAAAGAACTGTAGATCGGTATAGGTGTTTAAATACAAAAATGTAATACTTTTACAAGTTTCCAAGTAATTACTTTTTGAAGTGTTTGAAAGAGCCTACTCTTCATAGCAACATGGAACACTTGGCTTTAATCGAGATGGCCAGAAGACTAAGTTTTGTCTCAGTGTGAGTTTGCTGATTAATGCAAATGCTCCAATTATGCTGTAATTCTCATTATATAATATGTATACACACACACACACACACACATACATACACAAGTGTATTACTGTACTGATGGTTTATACAGTGCAACTTTTGGAGCATTTCATTCAGCTAAGCCATGACCTTTACTTCTTTGAAGTATTTCAAATTAAGAACTGCTCAGAACTGTCACTAATGACTACCAGGACTAATTCCAAAAAGGTGCCCCTTTCTCACTTATTTACGATCAAAGCTACATGTGTCATGAACAAACTTTTATTTTTTTCTACAGCAGCAGATATAAATAATAGCAAAGTATAGGCTAATTTTTGAACACTAGAACCTGAGAGTTTGATATGGTAAATGACATCTCTTTGCAAATGTTCTAGGAGTCCTATTAATGTTTCTAAAATATATATATAATAAAATAAAATAATATGGCAAATCTTCAGCATTATATTCATTATAAACTGTAGAACAAACAAAGATTGCTTAGAAGCCTGAAGGAAAAAAGCAAGGAAGGAAGGAAGAGAGGCAGCGAGGGAGAGAGGGATTTTACACATGCATTTTCTTTGATACGGACAAACGTGGAGTCCTAACATGTACCATGTGGCGGAGGAAGAGTCAGTATGATTCAAGAATGCTGAAAGTGAACACACAAGTCTGGATTTATGAAATGCATGCAAAAAACATACAGCTGATGAGGCAACACTGACTTCCATTTTTTTTTCTGACTTGCATTTTTAAAAATGTACTTGAGAATAACATCTAATATTACAGGCACTGAGGATAAAAAGACAAAAAAAAAAAAAAAAAAGAAAGAAGGAACAAGAATGGTCCAGCTAATGGAGAACTGTGGAGAGAGAAGCAGCCACACAGAAGAGCTCTGGGTAGAAAAGGGCCAACCTGCCCTACCATAGATGGTCGTTCAAAGAGGGCTTGCCCCCCCAATTCTTTATGGAATGATTTTTGGGCCCACGTTGTTATTCGCTAGAACCGTGGCAATAAGTCAAAAGGTTCATTTCAAAAATCAAAATAATTTCTATCAGTTACATAATATGCTATGGATGGAACTGCAGACTTCTGTAGATAAATCAGAATTCCAGGCCTCCAAAAGAAGCTACTCTCAACGGTCCTCAAATAAATTCTAGGCAGCACTTTTACTGGCATGCCAGTTACTGAGAGATTAATCAGCAATGAACTTTAAACATGCTCTTTACTTAGTATTGTCCTCTCGCCTTTCTGTAATTTCCAAAGTACAAGTCCCTTCTCACCATTTCCTTCCATTTGAATTCATGTAAGGATGCTGAATCTGATTAACTTTCATAACTCAACCATATCCAGGCATCTTCTCCCAACTTACTTGCTATATATCTGTTGCCATTAGTTACACCATCCCGACTGCCTTTCAAGTCAGAGGGCAGGGATTTGGTGGGACTTTATTTTTGTTAGAGCCATGCACCACCCTGGAAGGGACTAAGTATCAATGAAAAATAATGAAAAAGAAAAGCGGATTAGATATGTGCATATATATAGTTTACATTTTTAAAGGCATATATCCTAGAGAATAAAACAGAATAACCACAAAACTATACTAGCTACTGCTAAATTAGAAAATATGTGGGAAAGGACGAAGCAATCTGTCAATTTATAAAACTCAGTTTTCATTAGGTCCCAATATAGAGAGCCATGCAAAGAACTAGATACTGAATAAAACAACAAAAAAAACCCATATTCATACATATTAAGAATATTCCCCTGCCAAAACTATAAATCCCTCCAAAAAACCAAGTAAATAAACAACTCACAACTATTCTACTCACTATTGCCAACATCGGCAATAAGGGAAAGGAGAAGGGGAGATGTGTCATACATTTATCCTCGATTTTCATCCGGTACCTATGCATCATGCTAAGACGAGGTACAAAATCAATAATAGGAAAACATTTATATACACTTTTTCAAAGTTCATACCCTGACCTTTGCCCCTCCCCACTACCCACCCAAATAATCTCTCCCCCTTAAAAAAATCACCCCAAATTATAAAACTATTGCCCATGCAGGCAGCAAGGGAAGGGAAGCAGAGGAGATTTATCATACGTATGGACCTCCATGTTTCACTGTGTACCTACAAGTCCCAGCAAAGGACTGAGTAAGAAGTGAAATAACACACAAAATGTAGCAAACATTTATATACATTAAAAAAAAAATTTACATGCGCGCGCACACGCGCACACACACACTCATCCAGACTACTCCCACCCCCCTCCCACCCTCCAAAAAATAAAAGTAAACATCTATTCTTCTACCATTGCCCACCAGGCAATGAGGGAAGGGGAGTAGGGGAGATTTTTCATAGAATCAATCTCAACTTTCATTAAGTACCTAAATACTCATGGCAAAGGACTAGATTCAAAATGAAGTAAACACCAAAAAGAAGCAGAAGCATTTATATACATTTAAAACATCAACTATCTTACCTATTAGGCCCATTCCCCATTAAGAAATTCAAAAACAAAGTATAAGTCCTAACGTCCTCTCATACAACAGGCCATAAGCGACGGGAGAAAGGGCTTACCGCTACTCTGCACTACATTTCACATCTACAAATCCAAACCAAAAAACCGGTTTGAAGTAAAAGAGCAAAACCACCACCACCACCACAGCAGACATTTATGTACCTTTTAAGAAATGTAAGCCCAGAAATCCCCCACCGCCCTGCCCCCAAAAAACCTCTCAAAACAACTATACCACTAGTCATTGCCCAGACAGGCAATAAGGGAAGGGGACACGAGATTTTTTTCATAGAATGAACCTTAATTTTCATCATGTACCTAAATATCCAAGGAAAGATCTAGGTACAAAATGCAGTAACAGAAAAAAGGAACAAAAATATTTATATACATCTTAAGGAGTACATATCCCCACCCTCCCAGCGGAGGGAGTGGTAGTGTACAAATATTAATCTACAACTACTCTAAACTATTGCCCACAGAGGCAATAAGGGAAGGGGACAAGAGGAGATTTTCATACATCCGGACCTCCACGTCTCATTAAGTACCTGCACGTCCAAGCAAGGGACGGGGTACAAAATGGAATAACACATATAGTAAGAAATACTGTACATACAGTTTTCAAAAGTACATATCCTGCCCTTAGTCCCTTCCCACCCTCCCACCCCCACCCTCAAGACTTCAAAAAATCCAAACTACTTGAAAATGACTGCCTACGTAGATAAAAAGGGAAAGGGAGAAGAGGAGATTGCTATACATCTAGAACTCCATGGTTCACTGGGGACCTGTGTGTCGGGTGAAGGACGGGGTACCCAGTGAAATACTATAATAAGGAAGTAGAAACATGTATATATATTTAAAAGTATTTACTCCCAAACCCACAAAAGGACCCCTGAAACTAATTAACTACTCTACTAGTCATTGCCCACTAAGGCAATAAGGGAAGGGGACAAGAGGAGATTGTTATACATCCGGACCTCCATGGTTTATTGGGTACCTTCCAGTCTGGGTACCCAATGAAATAATACAACTTGGCAGTAAAAACAGGTATATACAGCATGTACACATCCCTTCCCCCAACCCCCTCCCTTCCTCCCCCAACTTCAACAACTATTCTACTAGCTATTGCCCACACAGGCAATAAGGGAAGGGGACAAGAGGAGATTGTCATACATCCGGACCTCCACGTCTCATTAAGTACTCTGATGTGCTCTGAGAAGGACACAGTACGAAATGAGTAGTAATACAAAGTCTATTTATATACATTAAATACATACCCTAGTTTCTCCCACCCCACAAAACAAAACGACATCAGCTACTAACCCAAGGAGGCAATAAAGGAAAGGACAAACAGGAAATCTGTCCTACCCTAAGCCTCGATTTTCACATATGTACACATGCAAACACATATAAGATGGAATATAAAAAAGGAGCATAACACATATCTGCAAGAGAGCTACACAAGCCCCACCTCGCCAAGACTCGATCGAAACGAGAGCAACGACAACTGTCCATGCAAGCCACAAGGAGGAGGTAAACGGGACATTCGTCATACTTCCACACTGCCACAGCTCATTAGGTATCCACACACCCATGAGAAAGATGAATGAAGTGCTAAGTGAAAGAACACCCACAAAATAGCAGCAAAAACATTCTGTACACATTTTTAAACGAACATACTCTGCTCTCCGCCCAATATCACCGTTAACTTCCAAAAAGAGAAACATCAAGTCACTACCTGTAGCCACTGCCCACACAGGAACTTGGGAAGGGCTGGAGACATCACAGGACAGTATCTCCCTCGTTATCAGAATAAACTGCACATAACCCAAAGAAAATAAAAATACATCAAGACTACATATGCACATTTAGAAAGTATATACCCCACCGAAAAGCCACTTAAAGACATCAGTTAATTCTGAGAGCTGCTGCACACGCAGGCAATGAGGGGAAGGGACAAGAGGAGATCTGTCCTGCGTTTGGGCTGCCACTTTTCATTCAGGACTTACCACCAAAGCCGAGAATGAACCACAAAATAAAAGAATGCAATGCATAGCAAAAATACACACATTTGTTTTCTTAAAGTACAAACGGGGGAGTCAGAGGGGAGAGAGAAGCAGCTCTCGAGATAGAGAATTCATTCTGATGAAAGAAAGAAAGAAAGAAAGAAAGAAAGAAAGAAAGAAAGAAAGAAAGAAAGAAAGAAAAGAAAGAAAAGAAAAGAAAGAAAAAGAGAGAGAGAGAAAGAAAGAAAGAAAAGAGAGAGAAAAGAGAGAAAGAAAAAAGAAAAGAGAAAGAAAGAAAGAAAGAAAGAAAGAAAGAAAGAAAGAACGAAGGCAAAGGGGAGAAAAAGAGCTGTATCGTACCTAAGAAATACAGACCTCATTTTGCAAACTCTGCCCTGGAAGTGCTGACTTGGTGATGCCGTGTGTCCTGAGCTCACACACCTTCTCTGCAGTCCCATCAAATGAACGGGGGTTGCGTGAATATTCAGCAATCCGAGCGACCACCGCACGTTGGGGTTCCAGGTAGATGCTGAGGACACGGCTCAGTAACAGGCCACTGGTGATGCAACACACTCAGCCCCTGACCCTCACTTCTTACTTTCTGGTACTCAGAGAAGACTCTGTTCTGTACCTGGAGAGACTGAGGCAGCTGCACAGCCTCTACGTACCCAGAACTCTTCTGACAGCTCTTCGGCTGCTGAAGTACGGTAAAATGGAAACATGAGCGGCCAAGAGTGTTAGGAGTAAGCAGAACCTGTGATGGTGAGAAAGTTCAGGAACAGCTAAGCCACAGCAACGTGGTTTCACGTGCAGGGACTCAGAGAAAACAAGGAGGAGGAGGAGGGAGGCCCGAGCTTGGGGGGGGGGGGGGGACGCTGACCCACCTGCGGTTTAAAGGATCCGACGTCCTGCCATTAACACACTGGACTCCTTGGATTCCCACCTCCGCCTCCAAAGTGCGGGTTTTCTTCTAGGAGTCCAAATCTCCAGGTTTACCTTTCTTAACAACCCAGCACACGTGCCCCCCATGTCCCGTTCAAGTAGCCCGGCTGTGCTGTGGGCCTGGAGAGGGAGGCCGCCAGGGCGCCCCAGCCGCTTGTACCTGTCACGCCTCGTGCTCTGTGACTTGGCCTTGCACTCCTGGCTCGGAGCTCATCTTTAGAAGTGCCACACAGATGGGTTAGCTTGGTGCTGGAAACTACGGAATCCCGTGGGAAAGTGAAGGGGGGGGGGCGCTGAATCTACAAACGTGGAGGTGAGGCCTCCAGAGAGGGGCAGCCGAGCAGGGGTGCGGTCGCCGAGTGGACGGGTTGTGGGTACAAGGCAAGCAATGGATTACAAGTCACCTCTTCTTGCAGCCCACGCTTTGATAGGGATTTACTTAAACGTCACCCTCTGTCCACACACATGCATGCACACACACACACACACACACACACACTCAGGGAAAATGATATAATTCAAGACAAGATTTGCCATATGCAGAGTTAACAGACATTCCAGGAGCAATGTAAAGATGGGCAGGAAAAACTGAAAAATCTCAACTGATGTTGAGAAGTAGCAAAATTTAAACTCTGTATCAAAGTGGAATTCGGTAATATAACATGATAAAAAAAACCAGCAACCAAAAAACCCCTCAAAAGTTTAGAATTTTTCCCCACTCTAAAAATATAAAAACACACTGACTTCCAATATCAACTAAACTCTCTTTTGTCTGCTGAAGCACGAGAGGAATAAGGACCTACAATCAGCCCAGCTTCAATAAGACATCTTTAGAGGATTCTACGATTCTCAGGATATAATATTTTGTACTCTGAACCAGAGGTAAATGTTTAGAAAAGACTAAATTAGGGGGAAACACATTAGGATTAAAGAAAGCTACCTTTTAGCATGCCAGCATTTTAAATTGTTATATAAAAATACTTTCATAAAGTAAAATATAATTTTATACACAGTCCCACATATTTTCACTGTATGCCTGCTAAATTAAAAGAGCTGACCTTTCCCACTGATTCTCTGGAGTGTTTTAAGTGCTCACAAATGGGTATCTACCCTTTTTATGTACACGAAAGATGTTTTCAAACAAAATACAAAGTACTCAAAATTATAAGGAAGAAAACTTTTCCCCTAAGAATCAAAGAAACTCAACGATCTAAGTATTAAGTCTGCATAGCTCAAAAAATTCAAGTACAGTATTTCTCCTTTACAAGGAGTGAAAATGCCATACAGTTTTGGAAATCTTCCCTTTTCTTTCTTTCTCTCCTTGGCCATCCCTTTAAATCAGTTAGTTTGGCCATGATAAGAACAAAATAAAACAAAACAAAAATCCACTGGGTTTTCAACTAAAGAAAGTACTGTCTAGATAGAAAAAATTCAAAGCCCACCATATTAAATCTGAATCAGGTTATTCCTATCCCACATTCTCTTTATTCCTTTAAGGTACTATGGTGAACTTTAAATAAAAATGCTCAATTTCTCAAAGACCCCATTTTAAAATGTGCTTCTAATATAAGCTATCATATAACATGAAAATCTACACATGAATATGATTCTCAGAGAAAGTGTCTATGATCAGGCAATGTCAAAGGCAACTTAAACTAATTGTATTTTTAGTAACAGTGATAAAGTCATGATAAAAGACAACGGTATTAACAAAATGCTTGCCATAAATGCTATAAATGTACACATATTCCTTTATAACACAAGGTAATAGCTATAGCAGGGAGTGACAAAGGTGTACAGATTTGGAGAGTACTGGAATTCATAAATAAAATAATTGTAACTGAAGCTAACTCAGTTTGAAACATTTTCCTAAAAGATGAAAAAAATAAGTATTAAATATTTGGAAAATTTAATCTTTTGTCCTTGTTACTTAGCTTTTCAGTACAACAAAAATTTAAAAATTCTGTAGCACCTGGCTGTTCTGCAGAAAAAAAATATATAATAGTTATAGACCTTATTTAAACTTTGTTTCAGAAAATAAAGGATTGATCAAAACCTCTAACCAAAGTAGATCTGCACACCTGAGATCAGTTTTCTAACAGTTGTAGGATTCATCGACTTCATTACCATAGTTTTTGAAGCTAAGTTTTGTACCACATTCAAGTAACATCTATCAGTGAGAAGCAACAAATGGCTGACAAACCAGCAGCCTGCAAAGATGACGGCTCCCGTGGTAGTCTTGCCTTGTTTCACTGTGTATTTTCTGGATACCAAGAAAGAGAAGAGAATGCCAAAACAACAGATTTCTTCCCCTATTTGTGTATCTTCAGAGTAGAAAAATTATTGTTTTTGTAGGTGTTGGCATATAGGTGAATATAATTCTGAATAATAAATAACTATGTACTGCCCAAAGACAATTCGAAAAAGACAGATGAAAACTACACAGACGGGCCCTGAGCTAACTAGAACTCCTAAGAGTGCAAACAACTCGGCAGCAATTCTGGCTTCACCTTGGCTTTTTGCAAAAGCAGCAGAGCCCAAGTTAATAAGCTCTCTGAATGGGCAACAAAATGGGGTGCAGTTGTGCATGCTACAGCCACCGCGTCAGAGTTTTAAGGTTCTTCTCCATCCATCGGATGTTCAACTGAATGACTTCCAAAGCCTCCTGGACACAACGAAGCCGAAAGGTTGCCTCTGACTGATTTTCAAAGAACGCCTGGACCTGTAAGTTGCACGCAGAAGTATTTCAAAAGGAGAACACTAAATCACAGGTAACTCTGAATATCCCTTTCAAATAAGCTTTAACTTAGTCATGGCTATGCTGATGTCTTGAAAGAAGTAGAGACAAAAAGCACTTTCCTATTCAAAGAATTTACATCGAGTTCCTGATCACGTATGGTGAAATCTGAAGTCATTTTAAAAATGAGTTCCCCTTACTCCCACAAGGATAAATTCTTCCAATTTAAAATGGCGGAAAAAAAGAAGCCGCCAAGTAACAGTAGATGAAGTCATCTAAGTTAGAATTAGTGCCCAGTGGAATGGAATTCCCTTGGAATGGAATTCCTTAAAACCATTTTATTAGCACTTAAAAAGAAAGATGGCATATGCTCGTCTTAATTCCAAAAATTATTTGTGTAAGGCAGATGAGGGAATACAGTTGAGAATGGAATCCAAATTCTTCCTCATGAGAATTCGTCCTCCTTGCTGAAGAACGGCCCCTTAAGTACTAATGCCAGGGCACAACGACTGGCACTGACCAAGGCAGACACAGAGAGGGGGCAGGATTTGGCGTGATGAGGCACCGTCTCACTGAGACTGAGCAGCCAAAGCGGAAAGGTTGACCCAATCTCCCTGCTAACATTTTATACAACCAACCTCAGACAAATGTGCCTTTGTCGAAAACAGGTGCGTTGACCCAGCAACAATACTTTGTATGGTATAGGACCCCAGATGAAACCTGAAGAAACACAAATACAAGAGCAAAAAGAGCAAAAACATGAGGCAGCTGTTGGGAAGCAAAGTTCCTGAGCGCAAAGGAAATACTTGACTATACATTACACAGGCCAAGGGGGAGAGTGGGAGGCCTGCTCCTGGGTAAGGAAGCTCAGGAAATCAGAAGGTAAGCCTACACACACTCTCACTACCAGGGGGAAGGAAAGGTGGGCAGAAAAAGGCAGGAGTTATGGATACCCAGATAAATGAATCCATTTAATTGATTCAAAAACCACACCTTACCCCCCTCTAGAAACGCCATTATTATTCTGAAAGAAAAAAGAATATCTTCCATGTGTGGTCTAGGCGGGTATGAGTTCTGATCCAATCTCTTGGCAACGAAGAGGTATTTTTCAACACACGTAACTAAGCAGCTATTGGGAAATAGTCCATGGCCACGTTAAGCGAAGTGACCTAAGTATCAAGCACGGTTGGCTTCAACAGTACCCGAATGGAGCACCACTGTCCAACGACTCACGTTAAGGAATTACATTTACAAGTGTAAAAATTTCTGGGTGTTTTGGGTAAGCTGTCACTGATGTACTTTTCCTCTCACAGCAGATCTTAAATCCTATGAATCAATATAACACTGGGAACAGTTGCACATGCAGAACCGGAGAATACTGAAAATTAGTACATGTTAAAAATTAGTAGAAAATACGTAGAAACTTACTTCTGCACGAGCTTGTCCCAGTTCTCTTTGACAAAATCCCATGCCAGCAAGTGTCCAGGAAAATGTTGGCCAGCTGTTCTAATGATAAATGACAGCTTTTGTGTTCGGATGATATCTCCACTGAGGCTATTTTTCATTAACCTGAAGAGCAAAGCAGATTTAGTTTCCAAAAACAATTATTCATCATGAAGTGATCACTGGACTTAAAATAAGTGCCGGTCTCTTAATGAAAGTTCTGAAGCAATTCAAAGGATGTAAGTTTCAGGCTGGTCTAAGATTGACCGATAAATTGAAAACTTGTCATTTTTTTAAATGAAGGGAGAAGTCACCACTTACATAAGGACTTAAGTATACTGTCACATAATAATAAATAGTAGTAAGGACATTTAGGGAATAAATTAAGTAGAATTTACTATAACTCAGAAGACTGGATTTTTTTTGTTGTTAAAAACCTTATTTTATTTGAGTAGATAGGTATATTACCATTCTTTTTTATTTTTTATTTTTAGATTTTATTTACCTATTCAAGAGAGACACAGAGAGAGAGGCAGAGAGGGAGAAGCAGGCTCCCTAGAGGGAGTGTGATGCAGGACTCAACTCTAGGACTCTGGGATCACGACCTGAGTCGAAGGCAGACAGACGCTCAACCACTGAGCCACCCAGGCATCCTGGTAATATTACTATTCTTAAAAAGCTGATACATTTTAGAATATGTACTAGCAAGAATATGTATAAAAGCAAGATACATTTTAGAATATGCTTTTAATATTAATAGTTAACACTTATGGATACTTCCTATGTACTAGATTATGTTCTAAAATCTTGACACAAGAATGGCTGAAATAGGTAATCATTACCTTTCTCCATTTTACAGTCTAAGGAACTGAGGTTAAGTAAAATTGATGCAATAGTGTAGCTAATAAATACTGAAGCCTGGTACTTACACAAATGAAATTCTCATCTATCATGTTATAATATCTGCTTCTAGGGGAAAGCACATACCCTCAAAAGAATGCAAAATTATTTTTAATGGGGGAAAAAACCCAAATGCCCAACATATGTGATGGATTAAATTATGAAAGGGCCATACTTTGGAATACTGTGTAGCCTTAAAAACGAATGAAATAAGCTCTATGAACGAACATGGCAAATCTCAAAGACTGATCATTCACTACAAAGAATGTTACAGAACACTGGGTATAGTATACACCTACATTCAATATGTAAATACACACACCAGGACTGACACTGTTAACAGAGAAGAGAGACTAAGAGTGGAAGTGAAGGGTCATATGAGAGATACATCCACATTTTATTCCTCTTCCTTAGGTACTGGTTAAGTACTTTATAATGGGAGCCCAACATATGCGGGCTCCTCCCCAAACCATCCAAGACAAGGCTGCCCCACAAGTAAAGGGAGAAAAAAGGAGATCCCAGAGAAAATGAGCTCCTCAAACTTAGGAGCACAATGCTTTTATGCTTTTGATATTTCTACATATCAAATTCCTTGGATGGTTTCATACCAGTAAAGTTTCCGTACATCCTCTGAGCTGGCAAGAGCTTCAAGTATTTTATTCTTCTCTGCTTCAGAGTCTACAGAGACATATTTGCTTAACAGGAATGACCAGCCTCTCTCAGTTTTTGCTCCAACCTTGAACACAGTACTCATGACATCAGTAGGTAGGCTGTAAGAAAGGTACAAATATGAGAAAAACAAGGAAAAAAAAATCCTGAGTACAAAGGCAAGGAATTGACTAGTGGTGCTTGCGGGGCCAGAGCAGGTAACAGAAGACTCTTTATAACTCCTAGTCAAGAAAATATTTAATTCAGTGGGCTGCTACTTTCTTGGTGGTGTGACTATAAAACAGAGTATCAGTTCAAGTAAGTGCCATAATTTTTCGCTGAACACCCACAAAGAACCAGGCAGACAACTGGCTGGAAGCCGGGGAAGGGAAGAATGAGACCCAGTCTCTGCCCTCTAGGAACTCAGAGGCTATTACAACATACAGAATAAATAAATGTATTACCACATAGTGTGGTAAGTTCCATGGTAGAAATACAGAAGCAAGTGTGAGGGGAACAGCAAAACGAGGGGAAGCAGCACAGTTTTCTGGCCTTATTAAGATCTCAGAGCTGGAAAGGACCCCAATAGGTCATCCAAATCTCCCACGCCAACTCTCATCTGATGCTTAAATCTATTTCCATAACGCCCAGTAAGGAATATGGAGAGAACCAGTCATCATCAAAGACATGTCTACTAGTTAGTTAACTCTACTTGCTATGTTATATCCCTAAATTAAGAGAGATTTGTTGGACAGCTCACACCCATTTAGATGGCTGCTATTAAAAAGCAGAAAACAGCAAGCGTTGTTGAGGATGTGAAGAAAATGGAACTGTTGTGCCCTATTGGTGGGAATGTAAAATGGTGCAACCACTATGGAAAAAAATATGGTTATTACTTCAAAAAATTAAAAATAGAACTACCATAGGATGTAGCAATATCACTTCTATGTAGACATCTGAAAGAATCGAAAGCAGAGCCTTGAAGAGGTATTTGTATACCTAAGCTCATAGCAGCATCATTTGTAAAAGCCAAAAGGTGGAAGCAACTCAAATGTCTATCAATGGATGAATGAATAAACAAAATATGGTGTGTACACACAATGAATACATTCAGCCTTAAAAAGGAAGGACATTCTAACACACGCTACAACATGGACGAACCTTGAGGACATCACATTAAGTGAAACAAGCCAATCGGAAAAAAGACAAATACTGTACATTTCACTCACATAAGGTATTTAGAGCAGAAAATAAAATGGTGGCTGCTGGGGGCTGGGGAAAACGGACAGTCGTCAGGGTAAGGAATTCTAGTTTTGCCAGATAAAAAGTTCTGGAGATTTGTTGCAATGTGTAGTATACTTACACTACCGAACTGTACACTTAAAACATGTTAAGATAAACCTTATGTTTTATGTATTTTACTACAATTTGGAAAAACAGTCTTGTTTGACAATGCGAGTACACAGAATTGACCTACATTAACACTCAGTTTTGTAACATTTATGACCCAGGATGAAAAGATCCTGGTTTCAGTATGTGATATAAAGGTAAGGAAGAGGACCAGAGTTCATTTGAGTTGAATCACATGTCACCTTTGAGTTCCATTGGATGCCATCCAATCATCAAACAGCTTCATGGCAGCAGTGCTGCAGTTCTCTAGGCTGTGGGTGCAAGCAAATTCGAGCAAGAGTGATCGAAGCTCTCGGGCAGATGGGGTGCCTTCATCAGTCCAGGTTTGCTGTTGGATTTGGGTTCGAAGTAATTTAAATACCCTGGTCTAGAGAGATGAATTGTTAACAAGAATTAGGACAATCAGAAAAATCAGGATGGCTAGATCTTTTTTACCCCCAATATTTATCAAGGAGAAAAAAGAGGAGGGCTTAGGTATTACTCAATAAATTTCAACTGACATATGAAGCCCACGTGCAACTGGGGTGAAACCATTCAATAACCAAGACTATACGTAGGCCGCTATAGCCAAGGCGGACTCTTAATTACGTAACACAGAAAGAATTAATGACTTCATTGCAGTGGAGAGCCTGTCTTCTGTATGTGCTCAGTGAGAAGACTGAGAAGGTATTTTCCTGCCCATAGCCACTGCTGGAAGCAAGCTGGAGCTTTCTGACCTCAGAACTTTAGACTCCATAAATCCATAAAACAATGAGAGAAAAATATACTTCTTTACTGATAGGTAGATGTTTAAATGTTTCTGAAGGCAGTATTAAAGGAATACTTAAAATATTAACTAGCTTGATGATCTAACAAATTAATCAAATTAGCAAGAAAATGAGGCGTGCAGGCGAGAATAGTTGTTTAGTTATTTCCTCACCCTCAACTCTATTGAAAAATTTTTCAGACCTGTAGTAAAGCAATACAAATAGTACAGAGAATACCCATATGTTAGATTCATTGGTTTACAATACTCGTACACCCCAGAAAATATGTTCAAGTTCTTCACGTAGCATCCTATTCTTCCAGAGTACCACTGTCAATACCTAAAATGAATCCTAGTTGGAGAATTTTGAACTGCTGAAGTCATTTTTTCAACAGACCTTCTGAAAATAAGTCTCCTGTGGAGCTCCGAGAACGAAATAAAAGAATCTGTGCAAGGAGAAGGACTCAAAGTTTGTGATAACATGTCAACTCGCTTTTGTTTGCTTCAAAAGCGATAAAATAGAGAACAGACACCTTGTGGAATGTGTGAGTAACAAAGCCTGCGAGTCATTGAGAGGACATGAAGTGGAAAAATACTTGCCAGGGTGACTGATAATCCAAGGAACATTAAAGCAATGCAGGAGATCCTATTGTATACACATGGCTGCATCGGACATGCTGCCTGCCACTGGCCTGACATTCTCAATGGCATGATAGCAAACCACCCCAAGTGAATAAAGAATAAAAGAAAATTCAAAGCTACTCATAACTGCCAAGTAGAAACAAAAGAAGGAGGATAGGGGAAAAGTTACAAGCTTCAGATTTTACTTAAAAAAAAAAAACAAAACAAAAAAACAAAACAAAAAAAATCACCCCTAAAACCTCAGTGGAGAAAAATGTATGTCAATGAGAATTTACTAAAATATACAGAAACCAGTAGGGAGAAAATGGCACATTAAAGTACTGGCAGCAAGGGAAACCTGACACTTGAAGCTGCTAAGGCTAGTTCACGAACAGTTACTCCACTGGAGTTACAGGGTGCAACTTTACTAGTTATTTCTGGTACCAAACTGTTAAGATGAAATCCCCAAAGAGTTGATTTTTACATATATTTCAAATGACAACATAACAGAGCAAAAGATTTTAATTTAAAAATAATTCTGTTTTTAGATAATTCCTGTTTTATCATTTTTATAAGTAATCCAGGTTATATTTTTAATATTAATAAATCATATAGCAAGTGCTTCTATGTTGAAGCAAGGGCTTCACACATAGAACTTGTTTTTCCTTGGTTTTAACTTACTTTTTTTAAATTTAAACTCATTAAACAAAGAATCCTATCCTCTGATTTCATAAAATGAAAAAGGAAAATGGGGAGAAAAATTAAGCAGATGGGTTATACAAGCTACAAACACTGGGTATGCAATAAAATGCAAGAATGTTAGACAAAAATGATTTTAAAAATAAAACAGACAGGAAAGATGGTGGCACTATATAATGTATTACATTTTGATTTACTGCTTTAATTTTACACTGATATGCCCAGGGAGTTCTTTCTTGGGTCAACTCGGCTTCTTAAAAGTGAAGTGTCAGCTTTTATTGCAAAAGGTTTATCCCACCAATCCCTCATATGTAAAAGAATGACAGACTTGTAAGTGATGAAACAGGAATATGGCTGGGATCAGATGTTAACGTCAGATGTGAGCAATCTGACACAATTCAATAGTGCCTCCAGACCCTATCGACCACAACACCACAGCATACATCACAAATTGTGATATAGATGTATGTGTTATATAGGTATGCGCAGCTTAGATAACAAAATGACCAATATACATACACAATGCTCTGGTGACAACATAAAAAATTAATTAGACATCAGTCTTAATCACAAATACTATTTGAAGATTGGATCCAAGGACTCAGAAATGTCTGCCATTTCCAACTCTAATTAGTGTCAGATTTTGTATTTTGAGAGTTTTGATGGTACGAGAATGCCCTAAGGATTTGAGAGTTTCTTCCTCTTGATAACCTAAAGCTAACCTTACTTTTAAAAGATTTTATTTATTTATTCATCACACACACACACACACACACACACACACACACACACAGAAAGAGAGAGGCAGAGACACAGGCAGAGGGAGAAGCAGGCTACATGCAGGGAGCCTGATGTGGGACTCGATCCTGGGTCCCCAGGATCACACCCCAGGCTGAAGGTGGTGCTAAACCACTGAGCCACCCGGGCTGCCCCTAACCTGACTTTTAACTGACAATCAAGTGCACAAAATCTACAGCAGTACATGGGCCCATGGGCTCACAAACATTGACTAAGCCTGCCCTTGTCATCCGAGGACCCATTCCCTGGACCCCACCCTGACGATATGTTCTTTTTTTTTTTTAATTTTTATTTTTATTTATGATAGTCACAGAGAGAGAGAGAGAGGCAGAGACACAGGCAGAGGGAGAAGCAGGCTCCATGCACCAGGAGCCCGACGTGGGATTCGATCCCAGGTCTCCAGGATCGCGCCCTGGGCCAAAGGCAGGCGCCAAACCATTGCGCCACCCAGGGATCCCCCTGACGATATGTTCTTAATAAACACATGACTTCTCTGGAAACTGGAAATCATCATCTGGGATGAAGATGCGGTTACTCCTACATCACAGAAAGAAAATATTCAAAACATCTAACTCCCTAGGTTGAATTTAGCATCTGTGTCACAGCATAGAGATAGCTTGAGGTAAGTATCAAGTGCTTTCTGACACTAGGCCCTCAGAAGAGTTATTGGAGAGAGGCAGAGGGAAGACGGCTTCTACCATCATGTAATTTAACTAGGTGGGAACTTCAGGGATATCCTGCTAACTCTTAAAGTACAATCACTACCAACACAATCCTTCAATAATTAAAAAAAAAAAAAGTGAATGACAGGGACTAAAGTTATTTATTGCTACCTATACTAGGTTGTATAGTGTCTTCCCAAAATTCATGTCTGCTTAGAATGTGTGAATGTAAACTTATTTGGGAACAGGTTTTTGTAGATGTAATCCGTTTAAGATAAGGTCATACTGAATTATGGTAGGCCTAAATCTAATGACTGGAGCCTATGTAATAAGAACACAGAAATTTGGACATAGAAACAAGGAGAGAATGTCCTGTAAAATGTCTTGTAAAGACAGAGGCAGAAACTGTAGTGATGCATTTATAAGCTAAGGAATGCTAAGGCCTGCTGGCAACCATCTGAAGCTCGAAGAGATGCATGAAAGAGCTTCTCCCTCAGAAGGAATCCATCTGCCCTGCCAATACCTTAATTTTGGCCTTCTAGCTTCCAGAACTGTGAGAGAACATGTTTCTGCTGTTTTAAGACAACAAGTTTGTACTAATTTATTATGGCAGCCCTAGGAAACTAAATTACTACCCCAAATGGTGTTGATTTGATATGGCACTAATAACTCCCAAAGTAATCATAAAATTCAATAATAAAAAAATCTATACATACAATGAAGCACACTGGTGCTGGATCAACTGGATGGCCATATCAAAAAAATAAATCTTTGTGTCTAACTCATACCATACACAAAAATCAATTCCAGATGGATCAAGATCTAAATGTGTAAGGTAAAATAATAGTTTTCAGAAGAGAACAAAGGAGAATAACTTTGGGTTGGCAGATTTCATACACAAAAATTAAGAATTTATATTAATCAAAAAATATCATTAAGAGAGTGAAAAAGTAAGCCAGAAGGGAGAAGATATTTGGACTCTTATCTTGAATATATAAAGAGCTCTACAAATCAATCAGAAAAAGGCAAAAAATCCAAGAGAAAAAAATCCTTAGACTTGAACACTTAACAAAAGTGTATCTCTGAAGGTCAATAAACAAATCAAAAGGAACTCATCTTCACTAGTCGTTAGGGAAATACAAATTAAAGCCAAAACTGCAATACAAGTATGCATCCATATGAATGGCTACAAGTAAAAAGATTACTATTAATACGAAGTGTTGGCAAGGATACAGAGCCAAATTAAAACTCAAATTCTCATACACCGCTAATGGAGCACAAACTGACATAATGTTGAGCAATGATGTGATAGTACAGTATTAACTATAAATGTTATGACTCAACAATTCCACTTCCAGACACATAGCCCATATAAATGTATACAGATATTCACCAAAGATATATATGAGAATAGTCCTAGCAATGCTATTCTAATAGCTCCAAACTGCAAACAACTCAAATGTCCATCTATGGCAGCTGAAGTGGCTACTAAATGGCCAATCTCTTTCATATATTAACAGTACAAAGTCCGTTCTGGATTCTAAGTTTGCCCTAAAGGGATTAATAGGTTATTTACATATTTCTCCGAAATGCACAAATATTGTAAAAAAAATTTATTGACATTTTGGATATAAAAGAAATCTCAAATATTGACAATTTTATTTTCAAGGGAACTAGGTGAAGGTCTGTCATTTTAAAACTTAAAACAAATGGTATACAAGTATTTCAAATTATTTTAATTTAAAATCTCAGTTTAAAAAAAATGATAGCGGCAAGGAAACAGCTTTGATTCTTCCAAGAAAAAGGTATCCTTTGAAAGATGACATTCCTAGAATACAAATTAATTTAAAATACAGCAACATAACACAAACAGTGGGCTTCAGAGTGGAACTAATCTGGGTTTAAAGCTCAGCTTTATAATTCCCTAGGTAAGTGACTTGGGGGAAGTTATTTAGTCTCCCATCTAGCCAATGGGGGTGGAAATATCTATCAGGCATTGTGTGAGGACTGAACAAAGTAATCTACGTTAAGCACTTAAGTATGGTATGCAGAATATAACAAGCACTGAAAATGTGCCCGTTTCTGGTGTGTTTCACTGATTTGCTTGCTCAGCATTTACTATGGGCTGAATCACATTCAGAAGACACTGGTTTTTATTAAGGATGGTAAAAGATAGCCTCATGATATAGAAGAATGATACAAATCTAATTAGAAAAGATCTCAGAAATGGATGAAAGATCTGAATGTGAGACAAGATTCCATTAAAATCCTAGAGGAGAACACAGGCCAACACCCTTTTTGAACTCGGCCACAGCAACTTCTTGCAAGACACATCTATGAAGGGAAAGGAAACAAAAGCAAAAATGAATTATTGGGACTTAACCAAGATAAAAAGCTTTTGCACAGCAAAAGAAACAGTCCACAAAACTAAAAGACAACCTACAGAATGGGAGAAGATATTTGCAAATGACGTATCAGATAAAGGGCTAGTATCCAAGTTCTATAAAGAACTTATTAAACTCAACAGTAAAGAAACAACAATCCAATCATGAAATGGGCAAAAGACATGAACAGAAATTTCAGAGGAAGACACAGACATGGCTAAAAGCACATGAGAAAATGCTCCGCATCACTTGCCATCAGGGAAATACAAATCCAAACCACAATGAAATACCACGTCACCCCAGTGAGAATGGCAAAAATTAACAAGGCAGGAAACCACAACTGTTGGAGAGGATGTGGAGAAAGGGGAACCCTCTTGCAAGGGCAAGAGGTGGGAATGTGAACTGGTGCAGCCACTCTGGCAAACTGCGTGGAGGTTCCTCAGAGTTAAAAATAGATCCGCCCTACAACCCAGCAATTGCACTACTGGGGATTTACCCCAAAGATACAGATCTAGTGAAACACAGGGACACCTGCACCCTAATGTTTCTAGAAGCAATGTCCACAATAGCCACACTGTGGGAGGAGCCTCGGTGTCCATCGAGAGATGAATGGATAAAGAAGATGTGGTTTATGTATACAATGGAATATTCCTCAGCCATTAGAAACGACAAATACCCACCATTTGCTTCCACGTGGATGGAACTGGAGGGTATTATGCTGAGTGAAGTAAGTCAATCGGAAAAGGGCAAACATTATATGGTCTCATTCACTTGGAGAATATAAAAATAGTGAAAGGGAATAAAGGGGAAAGGAGAGAAAATGAGTTAAAATATCAGTGAGGGAGACAGAACATGAGAGACTCCTAACTCTGGGAAATAAACAAGGGGTAGTGGAAGGGGGGCGGGCGGGGGAATGGAGTCACTGGGTGACAGGCACTGAGGGGGGCACTTGGCGGGATGAGCACTGGGTGTTATACTATATGTTGGCAAATTGAACTCCAATAAAAAAAAAGACCTCAGAAATCATCTAATTTAAGCATCATGCTTATGGGTTAGGTAGGTGTGGCTCTTTTGGGGTCAGATCAGACACTTGGGGGAAAAGGTGCTTCTCAAGTTCTTATGGCCCACCAGCTGGGTTTGCCTCCCCCCACTGAGAATAATGTGTGATGGGAGAACTCATCACAGAGGATGTGCAGTAGACTAATAAGAGGCATAAGGGAAGTGGCTTAAAAAAAAGATATAATCCAACCACATCTTTTGACCAGTGAGGACACTGAAACCCAGAAGACATTCTAATTTCTGGTTCAATACTTTCTTGCTTTTTCTGAAAGCTGCCTTTGGCCAGGTCCCTGGAAAACCTGACGGATTTCTTTCCTTTTTTTTTTTTTAAGATTTTATTTATTTATTCATGAGAGACAGAGAGAGAGAGAGAGGCAGAGACACAGGCAGAGGGAGAAGTAGGCTCCATGCAGAGAGCCCAACGCAGGACTCAATCCCGGGTCTCCAGGATCACGTCCTGGGCCATAGGCAGGCGCTAAACCACTGAGCCCCCCAGGGATCCCCAAACCTGACTGGTTTCTAAAGCAAACCCTATTGTCAGAATGTGGTTATTCAGAGAATAAGATGAAACAAAGAATTCATCTCTTCCTCCCGACCTTTTAAATACTCTGCCAACAGTTTAATACTGAAAGGTTAGTATTAAACCTAATTTAATACTAATTAGGCAACTGGTTTTAAAAAAGGGAAAGCAGTCACCAATACCAAGACTCCTTTAGCACTTTGCAGAGAAATATATCCACCAGCATCATCCTCCCTAAGAAAGTTATCAGTAAGGACTCCTAAAACAGAATAATCTCAATACAAACATAACTGTCATTTCATAATGACCACTAGGGAATCAACGTGGAACACCACATTGGAAAAGGACCTACTTCAAGCATTTATTATATAAAAATAAACTGGAATTTGAATAGAGAAGTTTTCTTTTTCTGTGACCTCATTTTGACAGCAGTGTCAGAAGTCCTTATTTTGATATTCAAACAAGACCATGTTATGCTAAGTCTTTTATCACCTCTTCCTGGTAAGCAATGAGATTATGATTCAAAGTAAAGATTTCATACCTAAGAAAGTGAAGAAAAGGGAATATAACTGGTTGCTTTTTCAGTCTATTACTCTGCCAAATGGAACTGTGAATGACATTAAAGGCGAGCAACAAAGACATGCTAGCAATAAGGCAGACTTACCACTACTCTTGAGGCCAGATCCATGTATCCCAGCTTTTCAAGGAGGTTATAGATGAGGCCCGTCTGGAACAGGGCTTCAGTGATGGGTGCAGTACAGGTCTCGTTTCCAAGGTAATCAATCAAATCAAAGGCCCTCCGAAGAGATACCTTGCCTAGGCTAACAGGTAAAAGAACAGAAAAGTCAATATGATTGAGGGAGATAAAATCTATATGCATGTAGAGACACTTTATGAATAGATGATGAGTCTTGGAGAACTACAATTTAAGCTTAGAGTGGCGTTCTGTAAAGTTAGACTAAACATTATTATCTTAAGTTCATGTGTATGACCCAAGGTTAAAGATACATTTCATGAGAAAGATAAACAATAGCTCAGGTTTTATTCCTTAAGTTACCTGTAAATTGCTACTGACTCATGGAAAGTATTGCAATGTCTTAGGGGAGAAAAGATGAAGAGTTCTCATTTTATTTATTTATGACTTGTATTTACCAGATGAGGATATGTGACATAAAAAGGTTCTGAATCAAAAAGAAAATATTTTGCTATTTGTAGAGGAATTTGTCAAACTTGGTACAGCAAGATTCACTGTGAATTTATGGTGAATATATTTTAAAAATTAACCATTTAAGAGAAATCAAAACAATGATGGCTCAGATGCTCTAAGGTCACTTCATAAAAAATAAACCAAAATAAGAAGGTCAAAACAGTCAGAATATTCCATGTGTCTCTAGCCCCATTAACAATCCGTTGGTAACCTTACTATTCAGAGGATATCTACACACAAGGTCACGGCCATACTTGGTTGTGAGATTCTATAACGCCTGGAGTGGTTGGGAGGCAAGCTAGACACAAATAAGAAGGCCTCAACTCTGAGACATCACGCAAACCAGTGGGTAAGCACTAAGCTTCATGCTTAAATTAAATGCTCCTTGAAAAGAATTCTCTCATGAAATAGAGTCTGAACTCCTACATTAATTTTTTCAGCAAACATGGGTCTTACCTGTTGGTATCACCAAATCTTAAGACATTATTTAAACCTTGTTATTTAACTGTTCAATATTTTGTAGTGGATGTTTCTATATAGATTATAACACCCTCGAAGGTAGGAATTACATCTTATATCTTCCCAATCATCCAAAATGAATAATACCTAACAGTCAATACACACTATTTAATTTTTTTTTAAGTGTTCTTTTCTACAACACACTCATTTAAAAACAAACCAACCAACAAACCCAAACCAAACACACTGTATGTACCCTGCAAGTTCAAAGATGTTGTTGATGAGGTTGGCTCGGTCTTTGTCACTTAGGACATAAGGATTTGTTTTCAGCTGTTTGATTAGTGCTTCCCAGTCATCATCCCCATAGTGTACAATATAATAGCCATTCATGTTTGTATTGACTTTGATCCACTGCACTTCTTCTGTAAGATTGATGACACCTAATACAGAAAAAAAAAAAGAGATGTGATGAGATAACAAGGGAAGAAAAATTATTAAATAGACGTTTTGTTTGTTTCAAAGTGACTATATTGTATTTTTACATTTAATCACTCTAAGAAACTAAATGTCTGCCTCCTAGTGCAGTTATTTTAATGTTAGCAAAGATCACCACTCATTCATTTAACATTTATTTAATAGTGAACAAGACAGAAATGACCCTTCTTTCACAGGTTTTACAGTCTAACGTAGCCAGCAAGGAGAGTATCATATAAATGTTACTGATGGACAAAGAAAATATGCCATTGTATGGAAGAACACAGAAGGAATGCTTCACCACCTAGGAGATGTTAGGAGAGGTTTCTGGGAAGAAATGACACCCACATTGAGAGTTCAAGATATATGGGTGTTTTAAGCAAGTGACAAGGGACCCTAAGTGTCTAAGGCCCAGAGACAAAGTATACATGGTGTCTGTGCATTGAACTGGCTCCAAGTTCAGCGGAGCTAGAGGAGAGAAACAGGGAGAAAGGGCAGGAGTGTGCGGGGTGAGAAAGCAGGGAAGACGGTGAGAGAACCACATAAAATGTGTTCCATCTCTGTCTTTCATTACATTGGTGGCGGAAGAATAAACAAAGCCATTTGGAGAAGTCACATAATTCAAAGCTAGCAAAAACAAACATTAGGAAGGATTAAGATCTCTTTAAGCACAAGTAAACTCTTTTACTCAGTTAAAGTAATAGGAAAAGTGATATGCATTTTTGGGGTCCCTACCATTATGTATATATAAATGCTGAAATAACTGTTGGAAATTTATATAAAATCATTTCAATTAAAAAGTAGTCATAAAATATATGACTACAAAAAATATTACTACAAAATCTGACTACAAAATGTATGCAGGAACTTTTAAAATCCTTCAAATTACTAATCAAGAAATGTCCTTTACAACTGGCAACAAAAACGTGGATTTAATATAATAGTTAAGGGTATGCTTCTAAGCATCTTCAGAATTACTCTTTATGAATACAGTTCCATAAGCTTACTATTTTGTTTACTGCTAACCCCTCAGTGCCCAGAACAATGTTCCAAGCAGGTACCCAAAAAATACTTGCTGAATTAACAAATAAACAAAACAATTATGTCACAGTAAATGTTTTCAAAACAAATCTAAATAAGGTTTGGAGATGTATATAATGTAAGTTTTCTTTCCAATTTTATTTTTTTTGAAAGATTTTATTTATTCATGAGAGACACACAGAGAGAGGCAGAGACACAGGCAGAAGGAGAAGCAGACTCCCTGCGGGGTGCCTGATGTGGGACTTGATCCCTGAACTCAGGATCACGCCCTGAGCTGAAGGCAGATACTCAAGCTCAACTGCTGAGCCACCCAGCTGTCCCTTCTCTACAATTTTAAAGTAAGGAGTACTGATTTTTAAAAATTACAGAAGAGGAACAGGGACAAGGAAAATAATCTAACCTCAATGAAAACATTGTACAGTGTATTTCCTGCTCAGACTTCTCCATACACATTTTAATTGATGTAATATTTCACACAGTGGATAGATATGCATTTATTTTTATACTGCTTTATCTATCAGATTCCACCCCCAGTCATTTTTTCCACTGTCTTCAAGGCACAGTATTCAAATATCTTCATAAATTCCATTTAAAGACTTACCACAGTTTAAGCCATCTCTTGGTTAGAAATATGTAGGCTGTTTTAAAATTTCCACTATCATAATAACTCTGTACGATGGTTTTCACACATAAGATGCTTTAGGAATACATTTAAACCTTTTGGTACCTAAAGTCTCAGATCTATCAACTTCAAAAGCAGGAATTATTAAAATTTATCAGATTCTCTTAATACCTAGTTACTCCAATTCTACTGAAACTACAGAAGATGTTTAATATGGAAAGGGCTTACGTTCTGATCAGGTCTTAACATGACATATCAGATAATCAGTCTTTTTCACTAAAAAATTCCATATCAATTTCTGTTTTATGGCTGATACAGCAGCAGATGGTAAAGATCAACTACAGTAATAGGATTTTTTCCTTTTCATAGAGCAGAATGCAGTTCTAAGGAATAATTGTGAGGACAAAGTAGCTGCTCTGGGTTGGAGACATTTTAACAAAGCAATGATTAATGAAATTAACTTTATATCATTAACTATGGCAAAAATATCGACGTTCTCCAGGTCACCAAACATAATTTCAAACCACAGAGCTTTTATCAAAAAAGGGCCTTGGGAATAAGGACTAAAGAGCTCCAAATCTCCCTTTCCCAAAATAGGAGGCAAGAAACGATAGGTATGGCAATTCTTCCACAGGATGGATGCAGGAAAATACTGAAATACAGTGTATTTTGACTGATAAGCAATTTGCCACGTTGTAAACTTGGCCAAGTCCAGACGGTAGAAAGCAGGAGGGCAGCTGGGAGAGTACTTGAGATTATTACTGTCGTCTCGATGACAGGATATGGAGCAGTGCAGCCAACAGCACAGAGAGGGGAATTATCATTTAAAGAATCAACATATTAGTCTTTTTTAGGTCTTCTGAATGATCCAGAATGAAAGACCTTAAAACCACAGGTATTAAAAAATAAAAGCTTTGCACACAAGGGAGGTAACTACATCCTACAGCTTAAATGTGGATGAGGCTACCCTCATATGTTTTTAATTTATCATAATCATTAACAGATTAAGAGTTCAATTTTCACAGTCCATTGAGCATTAAAAAAGAGTAACTCCAATCTTATATGGCAGAAGCCCAGATGAAGTAATTTAGTAGTGATTTTAAAAACCATTTGTCAATAAGTTATGAAAATCAACTACTGTTTTATACAGAACATTAAAACACAGAAACAAAAAAACAAGTTCTTACAACAAAGTTGAAAAATTTCCTGTGTAGCTTGTTCTAGTAGGTTAGCATGATACACGCAGCTGAACTACATCCCCTCTTGTTCAAAAGCATTCCTTTCTCCAATAACCTTTATTCTCCTTTATTTTATTAGAGGGGAAAAAAGGCAAGAGCAGAGGATGGCACATGATAAATATTTTAATTATATGCCCTTCCTTATTCTTTTTTTCCAAATGCCTTTCACTCAAAGACAATGACAGGTCTTTTAGTTGCAGATACATTCTGGCACAGTGATACCATGAATGTTTCAAATTAGATTGACTATAAAGATTTCCTATAGTTAAAGAGCTTAGGTCTGAGTAAGATGTGGATGAGAGAGAGCATAGGGAGGGATAAAGAGAGGGGAAAGGGAAGAGAAGGGAGAAGGAGACACTATTTTAGTGTAATTTCCTCAATATGCAGCTTGAAAAACTGGCACACCTTCTTATTCACAACTATTAATCATTCAAAATTCATGTATGTGGGGAAAAGTGACAAATATATTGATCAAATAAAACTCCTATATTTGACTGAACAAATGGACTAACCCAGGAACCCTAGCATTAGAACACATGGAAATATACTATAGATTTAACAAACCACCAAGATAACACAATGTACTAAAGTCATATGGCAAAAAATAAGCCTCTGTAGTCACCATCTCTGCTATATTTCTTTTGAGAATAGAAACAAATTAAAATAAGAGCGCTTCTTGCTGGAGCCTTAGGAACCAACATGACCCAACCATCCTCAGGGTCAATAATTTTTTGTGAGGACAGAACATTTTCAATGTGGACTCTCAAAACCTGAACTGCTAGATATTAAAATAGCAACGGCAGCAGTAGCAGCAAGGGCAGTAACATTTGAGAAGAGGAAGCAACAGACACTGCTTTCATCATCTATTGGCTCAGTTCCAGCTCCAGATTAAACCAATTATATTGCAGTACATTTTGCATATTCCCCTTTATTAAGAATACTTCCAAATGAAGGAAAAAGGAAGGTTTAATTTCACCAGGATTTGAATGCTATTTTTCTAAAACTTTTTACACTGAGATCTGAAATTGAGTCACCTTGTTACAAACTAAAATTTATTCATTTAAAACATTTTTTGGGTGCCTTACTGGGTGCTAAGCTCACAAAAATGATTCATAGAGGCCATGATCTCTACCTTAAATGGGGAATATATCTAATGTGAGGATAGACATAAGTAGAACAGTACTTCAGTATATCAAAATAAGGTAAGTAGAGGATATTATTCTTAAACACTCAGGTAGGCATCTAACCTATCCTGGGGTAAGGGAGAGCTTCCTGGAGCAAGCAGTGGGCACACCGAGATCTGAAGAATGAACAGCAGTAAATCGAAGGAATGGGGAGACAAGAATGTTCTTCTGGGAGAGAAAACAGCATATGCAAAGGCCCAGAGACATGAGGCAGGACAGCATGTTTGAGGGGCTGAAAACAGCTTTTGTACAGCAGAAGCATAGAGTGCCAGGCAAGGGCTTAGGGAGAAGAGGCTACAGCAGTAAAATATGAGCTAGATTTTGGGATGTGCATCTCAAAAAGAGTTTAAGAAGCTCATGTACAGGGATCCCTGGGTGGCGCAGCGGTTTGGCGCCTGCCTTTGGCCCAGGGCGCGATCCTGGAGACCCGGGATCGAATCCCACGTCGGGCTCCCGGTGCATGGAGCCTGCTTCTCCCTCTGCCTGTGTCTCTGCCTCTCTCTCTCTCTCTCACTGTGTGCCTATCATAAATAAATAAAAAAATTTAAAAAAAAAGAAGCTCATGTACAAACTGAGCTGAAAAAGTTAAGTGTAAATAAAAGCAGACTTCTTATTGTCCAATTATTTCTGAAGCCACCAAAAACTTACATACTATTGGGAGGTTGGCAAATTTCCTCACTGGTCCAAAAAGGGAGATGGGATTAAGTGTTCTTTCTTCAGCCAGGGACCATCCTTCCAAGGCTACTTAAAAGTATGGAGTTTTGTTTTCATCAAGGAAGGCAGCGCTTCCCTGCATCTCTGGTTATGTTATATTAATCAAAGATGTAACACTATCAAGTGTTCTCAGCGTCTCAAATAATGAGATTGTTTTAACACTCCACTCTAGTTAAACTGCAATGCAACTGGCAGGCTCATATAATTCAACTGGCATTATAAATTATTACCGCATAGCAGAAGGGCAACTTAGAAATGTGTACTAAATCACAAAAGATAACAATCTTCATTTCTGAGAATCATTCCCATAAAGAAGTTCATATAATGACCAAACATGTAAGACCCTAAATTTTTACTGAGACTTTTTAAAATAGAGACAAATGGTGTATCAAATGTCCAACAGTAAGGAAAGATCAAATAAAATATATCTGTTTTTTAACAAGATATAAAAATCACCTATACACAATGACATTGACTAAGTAAAAAATATTTTAAAGATTATCAGAAAGAAATAATCATGAGAATAGTTGTGAATCCATTTTCTAGATTTTATGTACTATGGATCTACCACGTTTAAAGATTTATTTTTCAATAATAGCATTAACAACAGCTAACATTTATATAGCACATAACACATGCCAGACATTATTATAGGTGCTTTGCATAAATGAACTCAATCCTCACCATAACACTATAAAATATGATCCCTATCTCTACTCTACAGCTGAGGGATGAGGCTCAGAGTCACAGAACTACCCACAATCATACAAGTGAACGAGACAATCTGGCTCCAAAGTTCATTCCATTAACCACTAGGCCATACTCCCCTCTCAAAAATATAGGCTTAAACACTAGATACAAATGCAAACAAGAAATTTTCCCTTTCCATAAATCTAGAGTATCCTGCAGGACCCAAGATACTCATGTTTTCTCAGGATGTGTGGTGTGGCATTCGTAGTGGTATTTCACCAATGGTCAGAAACTACATTTCAATTTTTTTTTCATAGACTACTTATGGGCCCAACATATACAATCTTTACATTTTCTTATCCCTCCTTGCAATCATAATTTCTTGCCCCATTTTCTTTTTTTTTAAAGATTTTATTTTTTTATTCATGAGAGACATAGAGAGAGGCAGAGACACAGGCAGAGGGAGAAGCAGGCTCCATGCAGGGAGCCCGATGTGGGACTCGATCCAGGGTCTCCAGAATCACGCCCTGGGCTGAAGGTGGCGCCAAACCGCTGAGCCACTGCGGCTGCCCGCCCCATTTTCTTATTGCCAAAAAATGTATACTATGTTCACAGGATATTTTGTAACAATTATTTACTCTGAATCTAGATCCTGAATCAACCTTTATTATGCATAAGCATCATCTAAGGTACTTGTTGAAATGCAGTCGCCCATGCTCACCCCTAAAAAGGAGATAGCAGAGCATACTTCAAGAAACTGCTCTGCTTCTACTACTTTATACTTTGTAACATAAAATTTATCTAGGCTATAAAGACAGCATTTGCAATTTTCTACCAAGACTGCTAGCACAGTCAGTGCAACTGTTTATACCTTATTTCACTACCTTCATACATGATAGATGGACCAATGTCACTTTAGTCCTGTCTTGTATAGGTGACTCATAAAACACGCTCCGAAACTGTACACTTTGGAAAGTATAATCCCCCTCTTGGGCAGCCCTGGTGGCGCAGCGGTTTAGTGCCGCTTGCAGCCCCCGGCATGATCCTGGAGACCCTGGATCAAGTCCCACGTCGGGCTCTCTGCATGGAGCCTGCTTCTCCCTCTGCCTGTGTCTCTGCCTCTCTCTCTCTGTCTCTATGAATAAATGAATAAAATCTTTAAAAAAAAAATCTCCCTCTTGCTGCTTGGTCACATTTCTTTTTAAAAAAACATGCTGTTTCAAATTTCTTATCAGAAAAGAGTTAATTAGAGTCAAACCTGATTTCTTGTCCAGTAAAAATACCAATGGATATTTTGAGTAATTTCTTCCCTCAGTGATATAGGATAGTGGAATATGCCAGAGATAGCTGTGAAAAGAAAATATTGGAAGATTATTACTCTCTGGAGTATTTTAGTCAGTTACACATAATTTGTTGGGTCCTTTTCTTTCCCTTTGGCGGAAAGGAGAAATTTTTCAAGCTATCCCCAGAAAAAGAAAATCTGGTTAGGTTTCCAAGGCGATTGTAATTTACAAATACTTTAACCCAAGGATGCAAAAGAGATAGCAGGCAGAAAGGGCACGAATGTACCTTGCATCTGAAGGCTGCATTTCAGGCTTCATGTTTAAAAAGTATCTTTCTTGTTGTACATGAAGTTCCTTTCCTTTTCTTTGAACAGTCACTAAAGGAAATCCTTTCTGCAGGGTCCATGTTTTCATCATTTTCTTTACATCTAGTGTTTTGTTTGTGACCTATAAAAAAAATTATTTTTGCTTAAAAATAAACAGCTTAAAAACCTTACAGTTTGTACCTTTCCCTCTCTGCCTACCATATTCTATGAAGATTACGTTTACTGTTTTTTTTAGAGATTTTATTTATTTATTTATTTATTTATTTATTTATTTATTTATTCATTCATTCATTCATTCATTCATTCATGAGCGAGGGAGAGAGAGAGAAAGAGAGGCAGAGACACAGGCAGAGGGAGAAGCAGGCTCCCCACAAGGAGCCTGATGTGGGACTTGATCCCAGATCCTGGGATCATGCCCTGAGTTGAAGGCAGATGCTCAACCGCTGAGCCACTCAGGCATTCCAGACTACGTGTACTGTTAATATAAAAACAGGAGCACAAATGTGGAGTTAAATACAATTCTAATCTAAGTAAATGAACAACTGCTAAAAGGAAAGTCACCTAGCACAGAACTAAGTGACAACCAGAGAAAGTAAGAGAAACCCTGTGTTGAGAAAGAAGTTCATTCACTGAGTGTTTGTCAAAATCTCTAAGTAAGGACAAGCACTCCTTCAGCTCACAAGACTACCATTGAGAAGGTATGAATAATGATACACGCTCTAGAATAAGAAGCACAGCTACTCAATTCCTATGAGTCAGCCTGTGTACAGATTTCTCTTTATTCCTCAGACCCTCTGGTTTTGCAAATGTTAATGCTCATCTTGGAAAGAACTAATACTGTGTGAGTGCCAGAAAGGAGCAGGAGCGTAACATGTCAATGGGTCAGGTGCCTTGACTCTAAGTTTCTCCAAACAGCAGTAGTCACCTTTTCTGATAGTCACAGACACTCTCCCAGAAATTGCATCAACTTACCTATGAAATCTAGCATCCAGTGTCAGAGGTTCACAGACCCTCTAAAACCCACTGTCCCCATGACATCTGGCATCAATGATCGAGAAGAAATTCTGGAACAATTATCTCTTTAAAGCATGTGAGTTAACCTTCTGATTCCAATCAGTGCTCTAGGTTGTATATGAATTTGAACTGCAAGCACCTAAAATTGTTTAAGTGCCTTAAGTGTTTGGTAACAGTATCACTCCACGATGGCAGGCCTCACCTCAGTCTCCATACGCCCATTTATTTAAAGCAGAAAGGATGAATCAAACCTATCCAAATTCGCTGCAACATTAATATTACATTTCTCAGGGCTCTGATACATTCATTTCTGGATAATGTTTTGGGAAGGAAACAAACTTTGCGGAAAGCACTTTTGGGTCTTTGAAATGGGATGGGAATGAAAAGGCCAGGGCATACTTTGATGCGGAGGTTGGAAAACCTGAGGATAATGTTAGGGACGAGGTCGGGATAGGAAAACTAGGAGGCAAAAGCTGAAGTAAGTCAGAAAGGAAGAAATATATTCTAAATGTAAGGAGATAATACAATGAGTATAGAGTAAAGAATGTGCTTCCAAATGAAATGTTACCATATGACGAGAAAAAAAAAACAGTGATGTGGAAGCAACTCTTTAGTAATAGGGACTAATCCATCTTCGCAAAGAGAACTGAGAGAGAAGGGAAGGTACACCTTCTGGGCACAGGGTTAACAGCTAGAAAATACAGGTTGAAGATAAGACAGGAAGAGTATATGGAAGAGATTCAGAATACGAGGGGTTTTTTGTTGTTGTTGCTGTTAAAGATTTATTTATTGGGGATCCGTAGGTGGCTCAGTGATTTAGCGCTGCCTACAGTCCAGGGCGTGACCCTGGAGACTGGGGATCGAGTCCCACTTCGGGCTCCTTGCATGGAGCCTGCTTCTCCCTCTGCCTGTGTCTCTGCCTCTGTGTGTGTGTGTGTGTGTGTGTTTCTTTCGCGAATAAATAAATAAAATCTTTAAAAAATAATAAAGATTTATTTATTTTAGAGAGATAGAGTGCAGAAAGGAGGGGGCAGAAAGGGGAAGAGAGAGTCTTAAGCAGACACTGCACTGAGCATGGAATCTGACACGGGGCTCAATCTCACAATCCTGAGATCATGACCCTGAGCCAAAACTGAAAGTCAGACACTGTGCTACCCAGGCAGCCCCAGAATAGTTCTTAATCCTGGGCCCTAAAACTTTGAAACTTTGTGCATATATGTAGGGTTTTTTTTTTTTGGGGGGGGGAGGAATATGTCCAGAATTTTCATCAAAGTTTCAAATATGTCTGTGATCTTCCAAAACATTAAAACCCCTGATCTGGATTAGGGTAACAACAAACTAAAATGCTCCTGGGGGTTATGCAATTAGCATACATGCACAATGCAGGCTGGGTTCATGCATTACTCTGAAGCTTAACCTGGACCTAATTGCACTGCTTGCTAGAACATTTTCAGGCGCAAAAAAATCCAAACAGCAAAATGATTCAAGGGCAATATGGAGCCCACGGTGGCCAGCTTGTAGTATATCATCTATAAGGATGGTCTTGTAAGAAAAGAGCCACAAAAGTCAGGAAGCTTCATAAGGCAGAGTGAGGAAAAAAAAAATCATAAATCAAAGGTAAAGATGCAAAAGGATAAGAAAAGGAAAACAGGGCAGCCCCGGTGGCGCAGCGGTTTAGCGCCGCCTGCAGCCCGGGGTGTGATCCTGGAGACCCAGGATCAAGTCCCACATCAGGCTTCCTGCAGGGAGCCTGCTTCTCCCTCTGCCTGTATCTCTGCCTCTGTCTTCGCTCTCTCTGAATGAATAAATAAATCTTAAATAAAAAAAAAAAGAAGAAAAGGAAAACAGATTTTTGAAAAAAAATTCAAATAATGAAAATATAATAATATATCTATTACTTCAGGAAGGGCTTTCCTACAAGGCAGGAATCAAGATTAAGGTACAGAACAAAAATGGTTAAACAAAAATGTTATACATCCATTTCTTGACCTCTGTGCTCTCTCAAATAACTATCTTTGATACTATTGCTTATTTATATGCTTGATAAAAATATAAATGGAAGAACTCTGATCTTCTTTAAGAACTAAATAAAATATTCAGGTCACTTACCTCATTAAAACTATTCCACAGATCATCACTTTGAATGGAGGCATAGCTATGATTATGCAGATAAAAAACAACAGCATGTTGAAACACATCTTCACTAAGAAAAGTTTTCAGCATCAACAAGAGGGAAGCTCCCTATTCAAAAAAAAAAAAAAAAAGAAAAGAAAAGAAAAGTGAGAAAAGGGAGTAAATAAAAGACTACAATAGGTTTACAGAATTGAGAATCTAAAATTCAAAAATTATTCTAATAATATACTCACATATAGAGAACCTAGTTGTAAAACACTGTTATTTACTGTCATATAATCAGATGTGAATGGTGTTCAAATTGTCTTAAAAATTATTTTAAGAGATCTGACAAAAGATAATGGGAGCAGATTCCCACATATACTAATCCAACTATAAGCCATTTATGTAGTTTATCAGTTTCTATCTCAGTGTTGTGATAAAAGCTAAGTGTCTGTGAATATATCTTTAATAGAAAAAAATCCCAATCTTCTGTGGAATCCCCATCTCCATCCCCAGTGCTCAGAATACCAGTTGAATTCATGGGTTCACTGCTGGAGACAATAAACAAGCAGAGCTCCAAAAGCCTCTCTGCTTGGGAGTACATTAATTTCCAGTTTCAATATATCATGTTGCTAAAATAACCAAGATCTCTCTTCTTCCTGCAGAGTCACTTCAAATATGTTTGGAACTAATGAATGTATAGGACAGTACACATACACTAATAATTCAAAATCCGACATGCAACTGTTAAAGGCACTTCAGTGACACCAGTGAGTCACCAAAGCATATGTCACCATCTCCAAAAACCACTTTTGTGAAGTCATCCCCGATTTGAGGTAGAAATATTTCTCTATCTTCAAGAGCAATTTATATCACTTTCTGCATCTGCTACAGATATATATTTAAATATATATATACATATACTTATTTACTTATTTATTTATTCATTTCTTCTTCTAGACTGTACCATAGTTGAGGGAAAATCCAAAAAGCTCAATTCCAGGGACTAAAACAATACCTACTATACAGAAGGAACTCAAATAGTCTTTGATTTTTCACTTCTGGTAAAAATGTAGTAATATGAAGCCATCAAGATCATCAGATACAGGGCAGACAGGTGGCTCAGCGGTTTAGCGCTGCCTTCAGCCCAGGGCCTGATCCTGGAGTCCCGGGATCGAGTCCCACGTCAGGCTCCCTGCATGGAGCCTGCTTCTCCATCTGCCTGTGTCTCTGTCTCTGTCTCTGTCTCTGTCTCTCATGAATAAATAAACAAAACTTTTTTTAAAAAAAGATCATCAGATACAGATAACTGTATTTAATACCTACGACTCCCTTTTTTCTATACCATGCTTCATGGCGTTACTTGTTCTACACATTTAAGTATTCATTCTTGTTGGCAACAGATCCCTTTCAGCCTTGCATCACCAACTTTCCCTCACTACTATTACATTCCCATTAACAAAACTACGCAATATTCCTCATATAAAACAAATAAAAGATGTCCTTCCTTTCTTTAACCCCATGCCTTTTCCAGTTATCATCCTATTTCTTATTCCCCCTTTGTAGTAAACTTCTCAAAAGAGCTGTCTGCATTTGCTAGCTCCATTTGCTCTCTTAACGACTTTCTCTAGAGCCATCATCTAATCATCACTCCATTGGAAGTGTTTTTATCAAGGTCACGGGAGAACTTCGTGGTGTGGAGCCAATGGCAATTCCCACACTCATCAACCTGCCAGCAGCATTTGATATGATTAATCATTCACTCCCAGTTTGGAGTCTTTCTGCACTTGGCCTTGGGACACCTCTCTTGATTCTACCCCTATTCACTGACCATCGTTCTCAGTCTCTTGCTGGATCCTCATCTTGCATTGAAACTCCTCATTTTGGTGCCTCTGGCATTTTAAAAAGATTTTATTTATTGATTCAACAGAGAGAGAGAGAGCACAAGCAGGAGGAACAGCAGAGGGAGAGGGGGAAGCAGGCTTCCTGCTGAGCAAAGAGCCCAATGTGGGGCTCGATCCCAGGACCTTGGGATCATGACCTAAGAAGGGAGATGCTTAATTGACTGAGCCCCCCAGGTGCCCCTTTCTGGCATTTAAATTTCAGACCTTTTTTTTTCTTTTTCTTTCAAAGTTTCCTTCCTAGTTGATCTCCTCAACAGACAATCTACATCAAAATTAGGATTGAAAATCAAAAACCCCAGACAGAATATGTCTATAAAACACATTTCCCAAATGATCCTTACTTGTTTTTGCATACAATACTGGTAAATTACCCAAGAGTCCTACTTTTCCCAATTATGTGGAGTATTTGCCAGACTTCCAATCCTGAAATACTGACAGGAGTTAGGTATGCTGTGAAGACCACATGATCAGAAGACACTGAATTTGGGGTTTTGGGGATATGGGTCAGAGGATGACAGTGCTCTGTAAAAACAAATCCTGAAGTAACAGTTCTGTATAAGAACAGAACTACAAGTTTAAACATTTTATTGACAGATCCGAAATGGGCTTTAAAAATCACAGCAGGTGCTTTACTTGGAATATATTTAATATAGGTGATTAAACTCTTCAGTTCTCATGTTAACAGTACCACCATTTTCTATGCCAGTTAGGTGTTAACCTGGAGAACATGGCTCCCTCTTTGCCTGCCTGCCTTACTCTGTCACTAAATCCTTCAAGAACCTCCCTTCCCCGACTGTTCTTTTACACTCATCATTTTCCTTCCACTTTCACTACCACTCCTAATTTCACACTTTTACCACATCATGCTTGCACTTTACCAGCAACTTCCTGACTTCAGGTCTCCCTCCACTTAAATCTACCTTGTAAGCTGGAACAAATTAGTTTTCCTAAACAGTAACTTTAATCAAGGAATTCCTTTGTTTGAAAAATCTTCTAAAGCTTCCTATTGCTTACAGAAAAAAGTCCAGATTCCTGATGGAATTCAGAACCTTCTACAACTGCCCCAACCTACCTGTCTCATCTTTCCCCTACTCCACATATGGCTTCCTCTACAAGCATTTACTCCCTAAACAAAAATTTCTTGCCCATTAGTATTCCTTGTTAGTTGTACACCTCACTGCCCCATTCCTGCCTTACTCAGGGCTTCCCATTCTTTTTTATCTGTATTCTTTTTATTATTTAATTCCCTTCGATTCCATTTTCCTCTAAAAAAGTTCTCTTCATAATTCTAAGTAAAAAAAGTTTGTACCATTCATTCCACATATATCATCTCTTATTGCTTAACAAGTACCCACCACCTAAACTTTGAGCTTTTGATGATATGTATCTCACATGTTTTTTGTATTTTCTCTGTCCAGTGCAGGAAGTCATTTATTAATCAATCAATCTGACAGCCAGAGTAAGAAGGCAAAAATAAGTCCTAACATTCATGACTCCCTCCAAAACTGTGAGTGGCACTGTTCTGTCTCCTGACCTATGTGACCCCCTCTTTTAAAAAAAAAGATTTTATTTATTCATTTGAGAGAGAGAAAGAGCCAGTGTGCGACCAGGGGTGGGGGGTTACAGGAAGAGGGAGAAGCAGACTCCCCGTTGAGCAGGGAGCCCAACACAAAGGCTAAATCCCAGGACTCAAAAATCATAACCTGAGCCAAAGGCAGACGCTCAACCATCTAAGCCACTCACTCAGGCACCCCTGACTTACGGTGATCCTAATGAGTTTTCTGTTTTTGCTCCACTCCCAAACCTGGAGTCTGTGCCTCTGCTCCTGCAATCTAGTTTTCAGCTCTTAAAATCTCTTTTGGTTTACATGTTTTGGCAATTGTGACTGGAACACACCTCAATTTTCAATAACGCAGCCAAAGGTCTGCTTAGAATGTTCCCTAGATATATTCTACCTGTAAACCTGGAGACTAAACCAACTTTAAAAGATATATTAAAAAAAAAAAAAAGATATATTGCTTTGATCTGATTAACTGCCCAGAAACCTAGTCAGAGCTGAAATGTGAATAGAGAAATAAAGAAAAACACAGAAAAGTTAAAACCAAGATTTAAAAAGAAGCAAACATTTTAAAGTTTAAAAGCATACCTGAACATAATCTTAAAATAATTTTTAATCTATAAAGTAATCTAAATGATGCAGCTTGCTCAAATATGAAATGAACTTGAAACCCACTCAGGTCCCTGGTGTGCACAGCAGTACCTTAAAATAGGAAAGAGAATCAAACATTTCTTCAATCTGTTCTGAAGACTCAACAGATGATGATGATATCGGATGAGATGAATTCAAGGAATCTTTCTTCATGGTTTTAAATCGAGCATCTAAGAAATCTTCATACTAGCAAAAACATCAAACAGATTAGGAAGCCATGAAAAATATCAAAGGCAAAAGCAAGTACAGTAATTATTTATATGAATTAGACTACTTAATGTTTAAGATAATTTTTTAAAAAGACCATCTTCATTAAACCACAGAAAATAAGCTTTTGAAAATGTAGGAATAGAGCAACTTTCGTTCGTATTCCTAACATTTAAAAAAAGAAATAAACCTCCTAGCCACATGAAAAACATGGTTTCTGAAGCCACTGCCTAAGGATAAATTAAGAATCTATTATTGAAGCAACCAAATGTGCCAAATCCAGATAGATATTCAAAGTAAATATTCTAAAATGGTTAGTGTATATTTTTAAATAATATCTGAAATTAAAAAGCAAAAATAAAAACTGGTCCTTAAGCTGATTTATTATCCATGTTTCTTTATTAATATACATTTCTCTTAACTGAAGTTCATTTGAAATAAAATATAACACTTAAGTAGAATTCTTTCATAGCTCAGCAGACAAGCTCCCCTAGGATATACATTAAAAGGTTTTAAACATTCTGGGCACCACCAAGTGGTGAAACTGTGTATCTCATTGCTTAATTAAGTAACATAGATTTAGAATACTTTGCTTAGTATTCTAGCTAAAAATGAGTTCCTTCTACCCACCGTAAGTTTTTGAACGGGTGTTACACAAAAATTTCAAACTGGAAGCTCTTAAGAGTATCCCTATGTTGAAGCAGTCTTGAATCATATATTTAATAGAAAGTCACAGAATTTTAGGGTTGAATGGGATCTTTATTTATACTTTACTACCTCTTGCTTGGATTATTTGGCAATATCTATCATACCACAGCCTGGTATATTCAAATACTTCTAAGGATAGGAAACATTTCCAGAGAGACTAATAACTCAGTAACATTATTATGCTCTCTATGTCAGAATGATGTCTTAAGTCTTTGAAAAGGGTACAAAATATGGTGTTTACTTTAACAGGGCAAATTACTGTCTGTATCAATCTGTTACAAGAATGATCACAGTGAGAACAGAGAGATAGTACTACAAAACGTCTTAATTTTTTTTCTCTTTTTATACAAAGGATAAAAAGTTTTGTTTTGTAAAAAAGGCTTTTCAACTTTATCTAAACTCCTTCAAAGAGAAGGGCCACATCTATTAAAAATAAAATGCAGCAAAGTGATTCAAAATGACCATCCTAACAAAACATAATTTCTCTTAATTTCAACTTTCAATAAAACATAGCAATAAATAAAAGCGTAATTATCACTGTCAAATCTCAAGAGGTAGAACATATCAGTAACAAGGTTCAATTTTATTATATCTTTCTAGAAACATTTTCATTTCTCCAAATGTCTAGAAAATACATGGTAAATATGACAGTACATGTAATAAATGCTGTACTTACACTGGAGAGCTCTTTGAATATTTTTTCCAAAGAGAAATATTCCATGAAAGTAGCAAACCCTTCATTTAGCCACAGATCATTCCACCACTTCATTGTTACCAGATTACCAAACCACTGTGGGGGGAAAAAACCAAATATAACATTTACACTCTTAAGAATTTTTTAATAATTGAATTGTCAGATTAATCACCTATAACTAGGTTATAATTACTTAAAAATACAGGTATTTGTTGAAACAAACTATATTCAAATTAACGACTTACAAGAAAATTTGTATACATTTACTCTAAAATGAAAATGTTAACATTTTCACCTTGTTGAATGGGAAAACATGCAAGAAACACAATCAGCATATTTATCAAATTAATGCACACACTATTTACTAGGTAAACAGAAACATTTTTTAGTTACTTCATTAAAAGTGTTATTTCCTAGATAATGAAATTCTTCTACCTTCTAATATCAAGTTAGTAAGATTATTTCCATTCTATCTACAACCATCCATGACAACTAAAAAATAAACTTGTATGTAACAGATCTTTCTACAGAGCCCATGTTTCATGTTTCTCCTCAGTCACCAGAGCTGAGGACAGTAGATCATGATTCAAAACAGAATACAAGTAACTTTCCTTAAGAAAGTTGTCATGCACATAAATAAAGGAAATCAGAAAGATCTTTAAATGTCTTCTTCTATAATATAATAGTAAGAATTAAAGCAATGATAGGAGACTCTTAAAAAAACATGTATCTCAAAAATCCCTGAAATGGAGAGTGGTGGGTAACAGAGTATACAATTCAGTGTGGCCTGGGACTCATCTCAAACCAGCAGCAAAATAATAAGGCTACTAGGTATCAAAACAAAACACTTTGGAGAATGACAAGAACATGTTTTTCAAAGCTATTATCTTAAAACCTGTTTCAGAGGACTATGATTTTTAAGTTTTAAAAAAGTAACAGAGAAGTGGTGCTGGGTGGCCCCAGGCAAAACAGACCCAGAGGACATCCCTAAAGGACAAGTTGGCTACATGCCTAAAACCATAACTGTCGATAAGTAGGTGCTTCATATGCCAGCCTGTTAAGAAGTCTTCACAAGGGCTCTACCGTGGCATACATATGGTGTTTGAGACAGGGAGCAAACCGACCAGAGTATGTACTACTCCTCTTCCACATCCTCCTTCCATCATGCATGATAACCCCCAAACTATGCCCAACACTGTTAAGCACCTCAGCAAAGAACAAAAGAAAAAAAAGAAAAAAAAGAAAAGAAAAGAAAAAGAAAAAGAAAAGAAAGGCAAGGTGTTGGGGAAAGAGGCAAGAGGTTCACGTACCCACATAGTTTTCCTTCTTTTTCTCCTTGTTTCTCTCCTAAATTAACAATGCAGTTTGAGCAGGGGAAGAAAACAAAAATCTAATCCTGTCAACTACAGTTCAAAAGTTGTGAGGAAAGTGAAATTTAGGGGAAGGCTTGCTCCACCACAAAGTTATACTGAGCTGCTGGCATCTGTCAGAGGTGAAATAGCTCTCTATTATCAGAGGGCAAGAAAGTACACAGAGAGAGAGAGAGAGAGATCCTGAGGAGACAGTGGCTCTTCAAGGCCCAGTGCTGCCAATTATTAACTGTGTGACTCTGGGTAACTCATTTATTTACTTATACTGAGTCTCAGTTTCCACATCTGTAAAATGGGATTATCACCTATCTCAGAGCAGTTATAAATGTAAATGTGAGAATAGATGTGAAAATTCTTTATAAACTGTAAAATCCTATGCAAATATTAGATAGCATTTTCATTTGAAAATCAAGTTCGTGTTAGAAAACATTTTATTATGGAAAAGAGGCGATACTACAATAAAAAGCTGAGTTTTTTATAAGCATCTAATTCTATTCTAAAACTCTACAATATAAAATAGAGATATAAAATATAATAGTCTTGTAATACCTGATGGGATAGTTCATGAGCAATGATTTTAGTAACCAGTTTTCTGTCTGCCACAGAAGAAGTGTTATTGTCATACAGAAGTGTCTCTTCTCGGAAAGTGAGCAAACCCCAATTTTCCATTGCTCCTGCTTCAAAGTCAGGAATAGCCACCAAATCTGGACATAAGAAGAAAGAAATGATCAACTAGCTTTCATGTAAAGCACTTCCTAAATAAAAATTTTACCCACTGGTTTATCATTGTGAATCAAGAGGCAGGGAGTTCATTTTATACTCCGCAAATGGAACCCTATTCTAGTCTTGTATGTTCCCTACCTATTGGTCAGTTGAGAAAGACTTGAACCATCCCTGTAGAGTCACTGTTCCTCTGTCACTTAGCAAAGCAAGAGAAACCTAATTCCTTCACAATGAATCAACTTTCTAGAGCAACGAGGATAAGGTGCAGGTCTGACATTCTAACTAGCTAGCTCCACATTAAACAGCTCTGAAATACTCTTGCTTTCCTGAGTTCCCAATACTCAGTTTTTGTTATTTGAATCAGGAATTTCTTAGGAGGTTAGAATTAGTCAAACTCCAGACTAAGCCCTAAGCAAATTCCCACTTACACAGCACCTGTATAAGCCCTAGTAACAGCCTCTTAAACTTCTAAATGCTTTAAGCTCCACATTCAGATGCTTTTATGGAATCTGAATAATCTTAACAAATACAGACAATTTAAAAATTTTTTGAATTTTTTAGTTTTAAAATAACTTTGGCAAAAGTTCTTTCTAAAAGTTGTTTCTAAAAGTTCATTTGCAAAATGAATCTAGGTTATAATGCTAATAAAAGTCAGGCATTGTTTGATTCTTACCCAATTTCTTAAGTGGGTATTGAATTTCAAAGTAGTTTTGATAGAATTCAAGAAGCTTCACAGTTGTTTCCAAGGCATGGTGAACTTGACCAATCTTTTCTGGTACAGCATATACAGAAACCTAAAAGAAAACATATATATACATGTATATAGATATAGATATAGATACACACACACACACACACACACACACACACACACACACACACGATGTGAAGTGTAAAGACAAGTACAACCAAAATGGCATGATATTCAGGTGAATACTGTTGAAGCATATGTGAGAACTGAAAGAGTTTTTATGAAATTTTACAGGACACAAACTCTTGCTTCTAATTCTTTTAGCCCTGGAAAATTTAGCAAGTCACTTCCACACATAGAACTACATTAAAAAACTTACTGATTTTTTTTTAAATAACATCCCAAATAAACTATTTTGGGTCATATTATGGCAAGATATAAGCTTTGGCCTATTAATTTTATGATCCATTACCTAAAGTTGCCCTTCTTTACCGATGAGCTATCAAAACTGAAGTATTTGAAGGACAAAGCAAATCTGCATCTTTTTAGCACCTATTACAGTGCTAGGCATCAAACAGGCATCCAAAGAGTGCCTGGGTGGCTCAGTTAAGCATCTGCCTTCAGCTCAGGTCATGATCCCAGGGTTCTGGGACGGAGCCCCACATTGCGCTCCTTGCTCAGTGGAGTCTACTTCTCCCTCTTCCTCTCCTCCCTCTACTGTTCTCCCTGCTACTATGCTCTTTCTCTGTCAAATAAATTAATTCTTACAAAAAAAAAAAAAAAAGGAAAACCAGGCACCTAATACAGAGAAGTCACATAAGGAAGTTTATTCTGAAGCAAACACTCAAGGCAGAAATTACACATTTGTTGGAATTATAGACCAATGCATCCTCTTTCAGTAAATGTGGCACAGCCTGTTTTTCTTCCAGCCTTGGGAGAGCTTACTTTTTTTCCAGTTGTTGGCTTGTTTTCATGGATCATGTTGTATAAAAAATAATCATACCAAACAGAATCAAACACTCAATGAGTGGCACAGAGTAACTAAAACCAACTATGGGGATAACAGATTCCTATTCCCATTGCCCAGTGCCTTCAGGTACATGCTCACTAAGGGGGAAGGCGGATATGATCGCCCAGGTCATTTAAATTGCTACTTTTTTCTCTCTTTTTCTGACTAAGGGCATAAGTTAAACCCATAAGTTGTGACTAACTATAAACAACTTATTCAGGGACGCCTGGGTGGCTCAGCGGTTGAGTGTCTGCTTCTGGCTCAGAGGCTTGATCTCGGAGTCCGGGATCAAGTCCCACATTGGGCTCCCTGCCTGTCTGTTTCTCTGTGTCTCTCATGAATAAATAAATAAAATCTTTAAATAATAAAAATAAATAAATAATAAATAACATTCAGTAAGTATCAAAAGGTAAAATTTAAGCAATTCTTTTTTTTTAATTTTTTTTAATTTTTATTTATTTATGATAGTCACAGAGAGAGAAAGAGAGAGAGGCAGAGACATAGGCAGAGGGAGAAGCAGGCTCCATGCACCGGGAGCCCGATGTGGGATTCAATCCTGGGTCTCCAGGATCGCGCCCTGGGCCAAAGGCAGGCGCCAAACCGCTGCGTCACCCAGGGATCCCAAATTTAAACAATTCTATGAAAAGTAATGATTTTAAAAAGCATTATATATTGTCTTCCAGTTGACTGGAAAAAAAAAAAGCCCTCTATACTCACCTGGGAATGTGAGAAATGGACAAAACATAGCAGAAAATAAAAACTTCAAAAAAAAAATCTCAATTGGTGGGAAATGGAGACTTACTGAGTAAGTCATTACTTGGACAAAATGCACTGGTGAACTCTAATTTATTCCCTCATTAAAGGACTAAAAAATTATCAACAATTTCTAAAAGGTCAGATTTCAGTCATAATTGTCTTTATGTGGGGCTTTAATCTACAGTTAATCACAAAAATACAGAGGTACCATGACATAAAAAATGAAAAGCAAAAAAAAAAAAAATTAAGTAAACAAAAAACAAATTTCTGCTAGTTGTGTGACCTTGAGAGGTTGGTTAATAACCTCAGTCTCCTTATTATTAAAAAGGTGATAAAAGTAACTCCTATACTCACCGGGTTCCTGGGAAGATTAAATGAGCTAATATATACAAATAGAACTTAGACCAGTACATGACACGATGTAAGTGTTCAATAAATGGTAATTGTCATCATTATTAAAAATATAGTCCAACAGGAAAGTGGCAAAATATGTGTGAGTGGAGCATTTGTGCCAACAGTTACCGGAAGAATAAGGTATCTAGGACTGGAGTTTGTCACTTAAAACTATGCTGCTTTCTAAGGGAACTGAAAGAAATTTAATCTCCCACTTCAGGCGGCCAAGTGTACTTCACTAGCCTAACATCTACCATCTGCAGCTCTTGGTAAAGGGCTGTGACCACAGTTGATTGAATTCAGTCACCATCTGCCAAAGGAACTATATAAGCTAATTCCACTGACAGGTGGAGTTCCTGCATCTTTCTCCCTCTGAAGTCAATGTTAGTGGGCAAAAGACAAAAAAATCCTGACATATTCTTTTACAATCTCTAACTACCATTGTAAATGACTATACCAAGATCACTAGGAATTTGAGACAAATCTTTATTATCTCTATTTTTACCAGAAATACATACTTAATATCGCAGTCAACACAATCACCTAGAAGAAGCTATCCCAATAGAAATACCACACATATCCCCCAGATTTCTCCTCCTACATCCTTCTGCAACACACACCATTTGACCACTCCCATCTCTATATATGAGCACCTTTCCTTAGAGGAAAAAGAGGCTCACATGAAACTGAAATCTGATCAAGGGATTAGTTCCATCTCTGGAATACAATGATTAGGAAAAAGGTAGTTTGGTATTTCTCTTCCTTCATTTTTTTTTTCTTTAAAAGACAATGTGCTAGGAGTTCTCACTAGAGATAAGTTATCTGGTAATTGTAATTATTATCAAGCTTCTTTTAAGAGCAACAGCAGCAGTAAGAAACAGAGCAATCCAGTTCAACCAAAAAAAAAAAAAAAAAAAAAAAAGTCTTGACCAGTATTCTGGGTTTGATAAGAGCACTCTAAACACTGTCAAATGGAAGTCAACTAGCACTCAGACCTTATAACTTACAAAATGGTGTCCACATCTGACCAACTACCATGCATTCTGATTCTACAAATTAGACCTGTCTATGGTAAAAACCAAATCAGGCAATGGCAAAAACAAAACAAAAACCTCAAGACAAACCAAGCAATGTATTTCAAAACTGACCTAGAATTTTCTAGGTAATTCTGGCATTGCTGACCACAGACAGAGGTGTAAAGAACAGTGAAGAACAGACAAAAATGGTAAAAACAAGTGTCCGTCTTTTTTAAAAACTTCAACAATGTTAGTAATGCTGATCACTAAAGAGGGTGTGTTTAATAATCTACAGTCAACTTTGACATTTTTAGTTGTTTGGGAAGATTGACATTACTAAGTAAAGCCCTACTACTGCCTTATTCCTGAATCTTGTGAAACAGGCCTACTGTCAAATACTACAAAATAGAAAACATCTGAAAGACTTCAACATTTTAATGTAAGTAAAATCCTGTTAGACTTCAAGTCTAAATTTCTGTCCCCATACATATAGAAGTTATATATGTCACTGGGTGTAAGCAGCAGCATATTGTGGTGGACGGTACAATCCTGACTATCATTTACTATATAATCTTAGGTCAATTATGTAAACTCCCTGAGACACAGTTTCATCAGCCATATGGGATTAATGCTTCCCTCCCATGTGGTTTATGAAATGAAAAGATATTTATAAATGAGGAGCCTGAGACAGCTGCCAGCACGGAGTATAGCTCCATGCATGTTAGATTCTTCCCTCATCCTAATAAAAAGAGAGAAAATTAGTGAAACAATTGTTTATTAGCATAACACTAATTTTTTCAAAACCCATTTTGAAATATGCAGGTATGGGGTAGCATTAAAAAAGTTACGATTTTATATTTACAGACATATAAGAAAGTTCACAATATTCTTGCACATGGGTAAAAAAAAGAGTGCACTTTGTGTGTGTGTGTGTGTATGTGTGTATTACTATCTCCCAGGCACTAAATTTTTAGTATTTAATCCTTGAGAGGTAAGGCTAATATAGGCAATATACTATTATTGTAGAAGGTGAGGTTTAGACAGGATTACCGAGGAATCTGCCCAAGAACACATTCTAGTAAGCTGTACAGGAGGGACTCCAGAGTCCACGTTTAACCATGTTGTTTCCTAACATATAAATTAAAAGAAAAAAAGCCACCCCAAATTCTTCTCTCTCAATCTCAGTCTCAATCAATCTGTTTCCCTTTCTCTCCATTTCCCCTGTTCCCCTCTATATACAAGAGAATAAGGTATATATCTCAACAATGAATAATCCAGTTTGGCTAGATAGAAGAATCCACACTGGAACAATCAGAAATACAGATGGATTTATAAGACAGCCCTGAATACCAGAATGTTGAGTTTGAATGTAATCCTAGCAGTAAGAAGGAAGAGGGAGGGAGAGTGGGACAGAGGAGAAAGAAAAAGCCAAGACTGCATATATTCTAGGAGACAATAAAAAGTGCTGGGGGTTTTATATCAAAGAGTGTGATAACTACAACAGAGATGTAACTAAAGTGCTATGAAAGATCACAGAGGGAATGATTAATCCCAGCTGGGGAAAGAATGAACTGCTTCAAGGAGAGGAATGGTATTCAGCTGGGTCTTGAGGAAGCAAAACTGACTCTCCTAGACTGAGCCTTTTGGATATCATCCAGACTGTAACATCTGAATCAAGGGCTAAATCTGGGGGGTGACACTTGAAGAAAAATTAACCGAATTTTATAAGATTTGCAGCAATCTCATTATCCTTTTCAAAGGATTCTAAAAAATTCTTTGCTTTAGACTTGACAAAAACTCTTTCAAGCAAAACGTTTGTAAATCATTTGAGCACTTGGGTACTACGTAGTCTACACCTAACCTTGAACACTTAAACTTTGTGAATAGTTCTCATCCTTTACTGTTGAGCATAACTGCATACAGTATGCA